ATGTCCCTGAAGTGCGGAGGGGCGCTGTTCGTCTCCTCCGCCCTCGCCCCCTCCCCCCCCGCCAGCTGGCTCTCTGTCTTCCCCTCCTTCTCCCCCTCCTCGTCCTCGTCCGGGCCGTCCTCGTGCTCACCACGTCTCCTCCGAGCGTGCGGACTCCTCCTGCCACCTGCGCCTCGCCGCGGGGGATCTGTCTGGGGGATCGCGGCGCCGCCCAGGAACAGCCCTCGGGGGGGCGCGCTGTGCCCCGGGACCCCAGAGCAGGGGGGGAGTCAAGGCGGGAGAGGGAGCATGAACAGGAGGAGGAGGAGGAGGAGGAGGAGGAGGAGAAGGAGGAGGAGGAGGAGGAGGAGGAGGAGGAGAAGGAGCAGGAGGAGGAGGAGGAGGAGGAGGAGAAAGAGGAGGAGGGAGGAGGAGGAGGAGGGAGGAGGAGGAGAGAGGAGAGGAGGAGAGAGGAAGGAGGAGGAGGAGAGAAGGAGGAGGAGGAGGAGGAGGAGTTTCAGTGTAAACCCAAGAGTCATCAACGCTGTTAGAATCAACAACCTCCCTCCAAGCTCCCGCTTCATAGGCCCCTACAAGGATTCCTTTCCACACGGAACTGCTTCGTTGGAAGACAGTTGTTTGAAGACCCTGAAGCATCCCACAACATCGTTCTGGGTACTCCAACGCCACGGATCAACCCGACTGTTGCGTCCTGACGATCTTGATGCGCGCCAGAACGCCATTCTTGGGACTTCAACACCGCGAATCGCCCTCGTAATCCTGAATCCTTCCCAAACGCCATTTCTGATACGTTGCCCATGGGAATCCGTGAAACTCGTAGAATCGAGGAACTTACGCGGCGCTAAGGCGAGAGTCACATTTTGAAAAGGAACCGCCCTCCATCCGTGAACCTCTTGCAAATGTTGAAAACGAATGTACGCGGCGCTAAGGCGAGAGTTACATTTTGAAAACCACCCGCCCTCAATCTGTGAAACTCTTGCCAATTGTTTTTCGCTTCCGGGTCAGAAATGGTGAGGAAGTCTCAGGCGAGATGCCCTGCCCGCCCTTTCGACCGGCTTCGGGGTGCGACAGTGAGAAGTGGATTATAGGGAAAGGGATGGAGGAGGAGGGAGGGGGAGGGGGTCGAATGAGAACGAGGACGGAGGAGGACTGAGGAGGACAGAGGAGCTGAGGCCCGGCGAGTGGCATGTGAACCCGCGTGCCAGGCTCATTCTCGACGGGCCGCCGCACACCCCCTCCCCCGTGCCGGTGACGCGGGCCGCTGGGGGAGCCTCTACGGGGCCTCCCCGACGGGGGGACGCCGCGGGATGGCCCCTCGGCGGGACCAGTGGCAGACTCCCCTCCCCCTGGAGGATACCAAAGCGTGGATTAAGAAGCCTTCCTCCTCCTCCTTCTCCTCCTCCCCCTCCTCCTCCTCCTCCCCCTCCTCCTCCTCCTCCTCCTCCTCCTCCTCGTCCTCCTCCTCCTCCCCCTCCTCCTCCTCCTCCTCCGCATCCTCCTCCTCCTCCTCCTCCTCCTCCTCTTCCTCCCCCTCCTCCTCCTCCTCCCTCCTCCCTCCTCCGGTCCTGCGCCCGTGCAAAGTCGGCGCGCTCCGGCGCCAAACGGGGCGGCACTGGGCGCCATGTTCTAGGTGGGGGAGAGGCGCTCTCCCCGATCCGTGGATCTGGCGCCCGCGCGCCAGATCCACGGATCCGTGATCCACGTTGGCGCGTGCCCCAGCCCCAGGCTGGTCGACCTTGCTAAATCAAGGGTGCCTTTGTGTCCTGTGATTCGCGACCCGTGCCTTCTACATGCAAGTGGCAGTGTGGCCCTCGGAGGGGTCATGTCCTCTTGCGTGCCCTTTTCAATCAACCAATCAACCTCGATTGTGGGACCTCCAGAGTCCGAGCCTCCTGCCCCGCGGAACGGAGCGCTTCGCTCTCCGCTCGCAGGGCACAGCGTGTCGCCAGGGTCGCCACGGCGACACGCGATCTAAAAGATCCCGACCGCATCCCCTGAGCATGGCAGACTGTATGCTCCGACCGTCCCGCGAACCACGCCCACGGCCCGTGCCCTCCCGCGACCCACACCTCCCGCGACCCGCCGTTCCTGGGACCCGCACCCTTCGCGATCAATGCAGGGCAGTGGCAAGTTCTTTGCAGTCTGGATCGGCGTGCGCTATATGCCCCGATCATGGTCATGGCAGCCCTGGCGGCCCCTCATTATTATCCGCACCAGCGTGGGTTCATGTACAGGTCGGCCTCCGCAGGTGCGGACAACAGTTTGTGTGTATGTGTGGCGTGTGTGTGTGTGTTTGTGTTGTGTGCGTGGGTGCGTGCGTGCGTGAGTGGGTGCTGGTGTGTGTGTGTGTGCGTGTGTGTTGTTGTTGGTGGTGGTGGTGGTCGTGGTAGTGGTGGTGATGATGATGTTGTTGTTGTGTGTGTTGTTGTGGGATTGTTGCGGTTGTTGTTATTTATGATGTAATTGTTGTTGTTGCGGTTGTTGTTGTTGTTTTTTATTGTTGTTGCTGTTGTTGTGGTTGTTGTTGTTGTTGTTGTTGTTGTCGTTGTCGTTGTCGTTGTCGTTGTCGTTGTTGTTGTTGTTGTTTTTTTTTGTTGTTGTGGTTGTTGTTGTTGTTGTTGTTGTTGTTGTTGTTGTTGTTGTTGTTGTTTGTGTGGTATGTGTGTGTTTGTCTGCCGCGCGGCCACGCGCGTGGCCGCGACGCGAACAATGTGTGAGCGCGTGTGTGTGCACGTCAATCATAGACGACACACATCTATATATATATATATATATAGATGTATTCATACATGTCTACATAGACGTGTGTGTACATGTATGTGTATATGTCTATACATATGTGTGTATGTGCGTGAGCGGTACAACGTGGCCTCGCCGGAGGGCCCGGCCGCGCGCGTTTGCTCCGCTGCTAGACTTACTTCGCCTCGTCACCGAGCGCGGGGCCGCTACCGCCAAAAAGAGTGTGAGTGAGTGTGTGCGTGTGTGTGTGTGTGTGCTCGCCGTGCGTGCGTGCGTGTGTGCGTGCGTGCGTGCGTAGCGTGTTGTGTGTGTGTGCGTTCGTCCGCGTGTGTGTGTGTGTGTGGTGGGAGCACGCGGGTCTCTGGGAGCGCGGGTCGCGCGCGTGTTGTCGGTGGTAGCTAGAGGTACACCCCAGCATGTAATCCAGGTTCATTGTGATCCGCATTCCAACTGGTTCGATTGCCCTTCAGCTGCAGCTATTGCGTTTGTCATGTAGAGGTGCGATCTCAAGACGTTTGACCTGTCATCGTTGGGGACCAAGTTTGATGTTGTGCTCGTCGATCCTCCTTGGGAGGAGTACCAGGATAGCTTTGGAAGCGTTAGCTTTTTTTTCGCCAGTCAGAGTCGTGGCAGCGATCGCATCGACGCGATGGCGGCATTGAGGAGACCGTGGTTCGATGGTGCTTGCGATGAATTGGATCAGAATTGCAGAGACGGGTAAAGACGAACATGCTGCAATGAGCGCTTATCTGGAGATGGTACTGGCGATGTAGATGACTACAGCGAACCACTCTCATATGAAAATGTAGTAGAAGGTAGAAGGGTCGGGCGGGTGGGTTGTTCACATATCAACCTTGCGGACGCCGCATCACTCACAGTGCAGTTGGCAAGGTACGTCTGCGGAGGAGGAGGAGGAGGAAAAGGAAGCATGATGCAGTGGTCGAGTCGCGTAGAGATGTCACTAAGCAGCAATGGCGGTCGCCCAGCGAGGTCGTCTGCGCGCGCGGCCTGTCCCAAGATTCGCGCGTGCGGCTGGTCCCTCCCTTACCTCGGCGGCGCCCACAACAATGGGGTGGCGCGAGGGAGGTGGTCCTCTAAGAAGACCAAGGGCTTCTCAGACGGCGGGGACCTTCCTAGAAAGTCCCGGAGGCTTTTTGAAAAGTCTTCTTACAAGCCGAGAGGGCTTCCAACTGCCTTCTAAGAAGCTCCCCCGCCTTCTTAGAATGTCACCCCCCGCCCTCGTGCTACTTCCTTGTGCGCGCCGCCAATTTCCTTCGGTGCCGAGGGCGTCCGCGGCTGTCCCTTCAGCGAGGTCTGAGGGCTCGCGTTCGGCCCGGCTCCCCAGGCGGCGAGGCTCGAGCGCGCGCGCGTGCGGTTGGCCCCAGCGGGGTCGAAGGCTCGCTTCGAGACGTGAGAGGGCGCGCTCGGCTGGCCCCTTCCTCCAACGAGGTCGCAGGCTCAGATGCAGAACGAGATGCCCATACCGCTATGCGGCCCTCGTCGCCACGGTTGGATTTGCATCGAGGTCCTTGTCAGGACGCACCCCAGGAGAGGTCCGAGGAGTATGGGTATTAGTACTTTTCTGTTTGCCTACAGGCGCGTGTGTGGTTGGCCCCTGCAGCGGGGTCGAGGGTGCACCTCGGCGCCAGTGCGAGAGAAGGAACAGAGGCACGGAGCAGCGGGCAATGAGCGGAGAGCTGGCAGGAGATTTGAGGAGCAGGGTGAGGAGGAGAAGGAGGAGTTCGCGCCGAGTTCCCGGGCATGCCGCTTGATTCAGTAGGAACATGCTGATTGCTTGGACACCGACGTTGAGGAGCTCTCACTACCGATCTTCCCCTGACCCTCTGGCACCGGTCTCGAAGGGGGCCTCCTTGAGGAGGAGAAGGGTGATGATGATGGTGATGGTAATGGTGATGATGGTGATGATGATGCTGTTGATGATGATGGTGATGATGATAATGATGATGCTGATGCTGATGATGATGCTAATGATGATGTTGCTGATGATGAAACTGCTGCTGCCGATGATGATGATGCTGATGATGATGGATGATGATGCTGCTGCTGATGATGATGATGATGATGAAGATGCTGCTGCTGCTGATGATGATGATGGTGATGGTGATGGTGATGGTGATGGTGATGATGATGACGATGATGATGATGATGATGATGAGGAGGAGGAGGAGGAGGAGGAGGATGATGCTGATGATGATGATGATGCTGCTGCTGCTGATGGTGCTGATGATGATGATGATGATGATGATGATGATGATGATGATGATGATGATGATGATGATGATGATGATGATGGTGCTGATGATGATGATGATGATGATGATGATGATGATGAGGAGGAGGAGGAGGAGGAGGAGGAGGAGGAGGAGGGAGACAACCAGGAGGATGCGGCGCAGCATGGCCCGTGCCAGCGGCATCACTTCACGCCTGAGAGCACGACAAACCCCACGGTACTCGCAGCGCCCTTACATGTCTGCAAACCCCCCAAGCGGAGAGTAGGAGCAGAATGGGGTGGAGATGTCTGGGGATGGGGAGCAGCAGGGGCAAGGGGGAGCAGCAGCAGCAGCAGCAGCAGCAGCAGCAGCAGCAGCAGCAGCAGCAGGAGCAGGAGGACGAGAACGAGGGAGGGAGGAAAAGGAGGAATATCAGGAGGGCAAGACAGAGGAGGTGGCAGGAAGAGGAGAAGAAGCAGAAGGCATAGGTGGTGGTGCTGGGGGGAGGCGCGGCGCGCCCTCGGTCGAAGGCCTCCCCCCCCCTCTCCGGCGCGGCGGCCCCGAGACGCGCGTTGCCGGCATGTACGTGCCGCAGGAGGACCTGGAGGCTTGGAATTTCGAGGAGATGCGGCAGCTCAAGGTGGCCCTCCTCCCCGCCGCTGGCGCGCGCGCGCGGGCGTGCGCGCGCGCGCGGTGGGGCCGAGGCCACAGCGCGCGCGGTCCGCCGCGCGCCCTGCCCGCCTGCGGCGCGCCCTGAGCTGCCGCTGCCGCCCCTCCTCCGTGTGCCTCTGTGGCTGCTGGTAGTGCGGCTCGTCCGTCGCGTCGCCGTCGTCGCCGTCCTGCGCCTGATGCTGCTGCTGCTGCTGCTGCTGCTCTTCCTCCTCCGCCTCCTCTGTGCGGGTAGCGGTACCGGTACTGGTGGAAGGGGATGCAGGCCGAAAAGCCACCCTTTTGTCTCCGCGGCCCCATCCGGACCCCGGCCAGCGATCCCAGAGGGGCGAAGTGCGCCGCGACGAGGCGGGGGGGCGGGGGACCCCGCACGGGGAGAGGCGCGAGGGGGAGCCCAATTTTTCGCCCCATCACGGCGGACCCCGCCCCGAAAGCCCCCAGAGCAGAAGAGGTGAGGGAGGGAGGGAAGACCGGGAGTAACGAGGCGGAGGGGTTCCCCTCGGTAACTAGAGCCCCTGTCCCATGAAGGCGCCACATCGGAATATCGGTCCTTGCTACGCCCGTCCTGGAGGAACGTGCCGATGGTTTGAGGCACCAGCAAGAAATCGAATATTGGCACTCTCCAGACAGCCTTGTACGCACTCTTACAGGTACGCACAAAACGCGCAGTGCGCCCACACCACACGCACAGTGCGCCCTCACACGAGACAACGACAACACGCGCACCCCTGAGCAACACAGCCTCGCATGCACACTTACAGGTACGGACAACACGCACACCCTTGAGCAACACGCGAGTATCCCAGCGTGTGCTAACTAGAACCTCTCGCGGCACATGTTCCTTTCCTGACGCAGTCCCGCGCACCCACCAGTCGAGGAGAGGTGCGGTACAAGGCCGCACCCCGGTGCGACAGGGTTCATCGTCAGGGTGCCAGACCCCCGCCCGGAGGGTGCGGTACAAGGCCGCACCCCAGCGCAAGTGGGCGACCCGAAGGCGACGACGCCTCGACCGGTAGATGCGTCCTGGGACAATGTCCCTGGGCCTTCCCCCTGCCTCCTGGCTCCCCCCCTCCCTCCCTACCTCAGGCAGCCCAAGATTCAGAGAGGGCCGAGAGCCCCAGCTGGGTGCTCGTTGGTACCCGCGCAAGAACAAGGAGAGACACCTTCGGATCTGCACGAGCCCCCGCACGTACACCAGATACGCCAGCGGTGTGAAAGAGGATGAATGTCGCAGAAGGGCCCCCCGAGCACAGGGGAGCGGTTCACACTGCAGACGAGCGCAAGGCCATACGGGGCGACGTGAGAGGGCCGAGGGGAGACCAGGCGCGCCCCCGCCGTCGGGTTGGCCGCCCTCGGGCACCCAAGGTGGCGTCAGGCCTGGGCACTGCGAGGCCCAAAGCGCGCGGCCCGCGCACAGCACAGCTCTCCCGTCCGACTCGGCGGTCTGCGGACGCGCTGGCGTGGTAGGCTGGGGCCCGCGCCGGCACCGCGGCCCCCGGAGCAGGTCGGGAGCCTTGAGACGGGGGTCAATGCAAACGGGGATCAGCCAGAGCGCCCGATCTTGCAGGATTTTGCAGGGCCAGGGTCGCATTGACCCGGCTTTGGGTGCAGGATCCTGCAGGATCTTGCAGGGTCCTTCGCATTGACCCAGGGTTGGGCGCAGGATCTTGCAGGATGTTGCACGGCCTGACAGACCCGGGTTTGGATTGACCCGGGTTAGAAGATCCCCGAGCAGGGCGTAGGCCGGCGAGAGCTACGGGCGCGCCCCCCCGACGCCATACCCAATTCAGGCCGCGGCATTTCTCGCCGCTGACCCGGGACCCTGCATGCACGAACCCTGCATGCGTGCCGCGCCCTGCAACACACATTGGCGTGCAGATGCGTGCTAGACGCGCGCAACGCACAAACGCACACACGCACCCGAAAAGACAATCTGCCCGGCTGTTTCCGATAACTGTGTGCGGGTACGGCGCGCTCGTGCATTGATTCGGCCTCGAGCTATCAGCATCTCAGGGAGCCGCCGCGGCGGAAGGGCGGCGGGTCGGCCGACCGTCCAATTCCGTTCCCTTCCTCCTCTGCCTGCTCTTCCTCCTTCCCCCCGGGGAGAGCGACGAGGGGGTCGAGGGCGGCGGGGTGGGGCAAGGCAGGGTTTCGACCCCGCCGCCCCGCTCACACCATGATACATGGTCGCCCTCAGCATTGGGAGGCACCAGGCAGACCCAGCGGAACGTCGCCGATTCGCTGAGGACCCCCCGCTACTACACTCGGCGACCGCAATGAGGGTTTGGTTACGCAGGGGTGTGGTTTGCGATCGGCGCCGTTGGGGCCTGGAGGGCACCACACTGATCGGGCTTCCGCGGGGCGCTGCGGAGAGATCAATCGAAAGTCCACGCACGTCCCCCAGGGTGCCCCCCAGGGTGCCGGTTGCAAATCACACCCTTGGCAGACCACACTGCTTCCATCAGCATGGTGCGTTGCGTAGTTTCGTGTTCCGCGAAGCCGGTGGCTGATGACGACTGCTCCCCCCCCCACGCTGTGGGCCCGCCCCTCCGTGGAGGCAGGCCGCCCCCGCGCCCCGCAATCCGCAGCCGTCCCTCGCCCAGCTCGCCCCCCCGTCCCTCTCCCTCCTCCGTCCTCCGGCCCGGCCCGCTCTCCGTCCTCTCGGGCGCAGCTCCGCGGCCAGGCTCGGTCCTGACCGCCCGCGAGTGCGGAGGGGGCCAGGCACCCCCCTGGGGCCAGGGGCCGCGGCGCCGGCGTGGCCCGGGCAGGACGAGAAGGGAAGGAAGGGAGGGAGGGCGAGAGGGACGGGCGCCGGCCTCCAGGTGCTGCGCCACGAGCAGCTTCGGCCCACCGAAGGTGGGTGGCCCCCGGGCCCCCCGGGCTCCGCCTGCGCTAGGCGTGGGCCCTCCTCGTGCCTTCTGGTGCCTCCTCCGTCTTCCTAGCGCCTGCCTCCCTCCGTCCGCCTCGCCCCCGACCAAGAATTGGTCAGTGGGTGATCTCATGTCGCTCCAAAGGCAAGAATGTGCCGCACTGGGGGCCCCAGGTCGCCCCGAGATGGCACCGCGTCTCAGCTGGCGTGTCGCGACTTCGTCGTCGCCGAGGTCTCCCGCATTCGCCTTCGCCTCCTTTCTCCGCTCGTGCCCCTCCCTGGCGTTTGGGCCCGAGCCTGACGCGTGCCGCCGAGCACGGCGTGTGTGCTGCGAAACCCTCCCCCCGCGGCGCCTGCGCGCCCCGCGGACCGCCTCTCAGGCGCGAGCGCGCTGGGGCCCGGCCCGCAGCGTCAGGGGTGGTGGTCGGTCTGGCGGTGTTCTCCCGTAGTTTCCCCCATCGCTCCCCTGCCGGCGCCTCCTCTCCCTCCGACCTGGCTTCCTTTCTCCCTCCCTCAGTCTGCCACTTCTCCCCCTCCTTCCCGTTTTTTTGTCCCTCTCTCTCTCTCTCCCTGTCTCTGTCTCTGCATGTGTTTACTTAATGCTTCTATGTTTGCTCGTTCTGCTTCCTGTGTATCTACAGTCGTTGTTTGTGTGATACCTCTCTCTCATTCTCTCTTAGCTTTTCGGTTCCTCTCTCTCCGGGTCTCTTTTTTTTTTGCTGGTTCTCTCTCTCTCTCTCTTTCTTTTTGTCTCTCCCTCTCTCTCTGTATGTCTAATAGTATGTATACATGGGGTCGGCTATGTGTTTCACACTAGGTGGTGCAATTTAGATGGTGCAATCTTGAAAGCTATGCTGTGCACTCTACGTGGTGTGGCGACGAGGCGACGACGGGCGGCGACGAGGCGACGACGGGCGGCGACGAGCGGCGACAGGCGGCGACGAGCTGCGACGGGGCGGTGACGGGGCGAGAACAGGCTGGCCAGGGCGACGCCAGCCCAGTTCCCGTAAGAACGACTAAGAACTCCCAAGTGCAAACATTGTTTGGATACTTTCTCGATGTCGGTATACAGCCAGCTGCGAGGAGGAGGGGGAGGAGGAGGAGGAGGAGGAGGAGGAGGAGGAGGAGGAGGAGGAGGAGGAGGAGGGGGCGGAGGGGGAGGAGCATGAGGAGCCGCCCCACTCTGTCGTGGTGCGTTGTGGCTTCATCGCCCTTGTGGCACGCTGTGGACTATCGGCCGTCCGTCACGTCTGGCACTGGCGGACATATGATCTAACGCGGTTCCGGTGCCGGGGCCGCGGATCCAGGAGGAGAAGGGGGAGGAATGGGACGAGGGACGGGCGATGGGGAGGGATAGTTGGCAGGAGTATAACGGGGAGTTGGCAGGAGGAGGAGGAGGAGGAGGAGGAGGAGCAGGAGGAGGAGGAGGAGGAGGAGGAGGAGGAGGAGCAGGAGGAGGAGGAGGAGGAGGATTGTATTGGATTGGATTGGATTGGACACTTCGAGCGGACAAGGCTTGAGCCTTCAGCATCGACCAGTCGGGGTGGAGCCACCTGCCCCGCTCGTGCGGCATGGGGGCCTTTTCGGCCGCAGCGCCAGAAAATTCCAACCTCTTTTCCAAGCCGTCCCCGCGGCCCTGCAGTGGAAGAGGGGCAACGGCGGCAGCAAGGCCCTTCACGGTCCAGGCCGTTACGGCCGCAAGGACAGCAGACCGCATTGGCTCGTGATACTCTCGATGTCCAACCATATCCACATCCTCGTCCCATATCCTCCGAACCTCCACCGCCCCATCTCCGACGCCAGATCTACGAGGGAGGTGAAGGAGGGAATGAGACAGGAAGGAGAAGGAAGGCTAAGCAGGAGCAGAACGTTTGGCCCTCACCTCCTTCTCCTGGTCCTTGCTCTTGGCAGAAGGCACTCCTGTGCCGAACCGAGACGGTCTTCACGAGACACGTGGCGAGCAGCAGGAGCTCGCACTTGGGGGCCTGCGAGCCTTGGCCATCTGCGTCAGGAATCTCAGCAGGGCCAGCATCACTGCCACTAGTACTGAAGCGGCGCATCCTCACACCGGCACGACACTCAGGCGACACCGCAAGAACAGC